GGAGGTAGGAGTAGACATGGGGGAGAGAGATGCTGAGGGAATTGTTTTCATACCTGGATGGTTGAGATCTATGGATGTACATCAGATTGCCTTGTGCTACCAAAATAAAAAGATAAACCACACAGACTGTCACAGCACATCAAGAAGATGCAATTGGCCTTGTTGTTAAAATATTGCCCAAGTTGCTGTGGAAACATACTACTATTTTGAGCTAGAAATCAGGGTAATCTTCAAAAGCAACACAAAAACCTATCATACAAGCTACGCATTTGTTGCTACCTTTTGCTTGAGAGATCCCAGCAGAATACTCGGACTGTTCCATAAGAAGGAGAGTGACAGTGGGAAGAAAGACTTATTTGTATAAAAATATTCCTACCACCATTATCTATAATAGCAAAAAACACCCTTAACTGAACATAACCCATATTTTGTATGAGACATGGCTGAAGCGACCGTAATACATAAATATAGAGGAAGTGGCAAGTATGAAAAATATGAAGAAATATAGGAAGCTGTAGGAAAGCAAGCAGAATCCAATGAAGAATAGACACACTTTGCATTTGTCCTTGTCCCATGAAAACAGCAATTAATAGTTAACAGCAACAAAATCTGGAACAGTATATAAAAGAGGGATCTCAGTCAACAAACATTTATTAAGTGCCTACTGTGTGCAAGGCACTGAGCTAAACACTTTACAAATAGTATTTCATTTGATCCTCCCAACAACCCAAGTGCTATATTATCCCCATTTCTAGTTGAAGAAACTGGGGCCAGCAGAGGTTAAGTGACTTTTATAGTTTGCACAATTAGTAAGTGAAGCCCGATTTTAACTCAAGACGTACCGGAGTTGAGGCCCAGGAATCTTTCCATTGTGCCTTACCCTCAAAGAAAGGTGAAAGACAGTTCCTGTTCCAGAGGGACTCACAGCTCCCTCATCTGTAAAATGAAAGTTTCAGCAAGGCATGTGCAATCAGGCTGAACAACTTGGTTACTGGCTTGTTAAAGCGTTTACATATTTTTAAAACAATCTGCCCATAACCAAAGGCTAGGATTCAATGTACAATGTGTCGGAGTTTATAATTGTTGTTGTTCTTTGTGTGTTTGACTCTCTGTGCTTATTTGTTTGTTGTTGGTTATTAATTTCATAATAGAAAAAAGAAGCAATAAAAACAAAATGGTGGCCAAAATGGCAAAGGCAGTCTAATCAGGAACCCTAATGGTAACAAGGACACATGCAAAGATCAACACTCCCTGAATCACGATTCCCCTGGAAGTTCTTCTTTATTATTATTATTTTTTTAATTTTTAACATTCCATTTTTAAAATTTTGAATTCTAAATTCTCTACCTCTTGCCATCCCCTTTTCCATTAAGAAGGCTAGCAATATTATACCCATTATAAATGTGAAGTCATGCAAAACACATTTGCATATTAGCCATGTTATGAAAATAAATAAATAAAATTTAAAAAGCAAGAAAAATAGAAATACAGGGGAAAATGAGAAAAAATATGTTTCAATATGCACTCAGATTTCATCGGTTCTCTCACTAGAAGTGGATAGTATTTTTCATTATAAGTCTTTTAGTATTGTCACAGATCATTGTATTGATTAGAGTAGCTAAGTCTCTCACAGTTCATCATCATTACAACATTGCTTTTACTGGGTACAATATTCTCCTGCTTCTGCCCATTTCACTTTGCATTAGTTCATATAAGTCTTCCCAAGTTTTTCTGAAACCAATCTTGCTTGTCATTTCTTATAGTACAATAGTATTCCATCACATTCACATACCACAGTTTGTTCAGCCATTCCCCAGTTGATGGGCATCCTCTCAATTTCCAATTCTTTGAGACCACAAAAAAAAACTACAATATTTTTGTACAAATAGATCCTTTTCTTTCTTTGAACTTTTTGGGATAGAAAGTGGTATTGCTGGGTCAGAGAGTATGCATAGTTTTATTGCCCTTTGGGCATAGTTCCAAATTGTTCTCCAGAATGGTAGATCAGTTCACAATTACCCCAATAATTAATTAGTGTTCCTGCTTTTGCACATCCTGTCCAGAATTTGTCATTTTTCTTTTTCCCTGGAAGTTCTGAAAGAGGAATGCTTGGGCAGGAGAGGAGGCCCACAGAGATCCTCTTGCCCCAAATCCCTTTCCTGTATTCCTGGTACCATTAAACTTTATTCTCCACTGTTGTTATTATTCATTTGTGTCTGACTCTTGGCAAATATACTGGAGTTGTTTATCATTTCCTTCTCCAGTTCATTTTACAGATGAGGAAACTGAGGCAAACAGGGTTAACTTACTTACCCAGGGTCACACAGCTAGTAAGTATCTGATATCAGATTTGAACTCAGGTAGATGAGCCTTTCTGATTCCAAGCCTGGAACTCTATCCACTGTGCCACCTAGATGCCCCATTACCCAACTCTATATTCCATGAGGGCAGGGACCATGTTAAACTTGAACTTTTTATGTCTCCCACTACCTAATACAGTGCTCTGCACCTTATACATGCTTTATTAAATATATGATGATTCCTTGGGCTTTATGTGACTTCCTCACATCCTTGTTCCTTTCCTATGACTGACTTTGCCAAAAATACATTATGTTCATTCCTGCCTATGCCTTTGAGATCCCTTTCAAATCTATGATTCCCATTCCCTTCTCTCCCCTCTACTCCTCCCGGTCCCAACTTGGGTCACCTCCCTCCTCTTCTCTGACTATCCAAATCCTGTTCATGTGTCTAAGCCCAGATCAAGTCTCCTCTCCTCCAACGAGTCTTCCCTGATGACTCCTGTGCTCATGGAGGCTTCTCTTAACCTCTATGACATTTGCAGAGAGAAGCACACAATTTGTTTTACTTTATATCATAATCAATTCAGGATTGTGTCCCACTCTTACACCACTCCAGAAAGAAAGAAAGAAAAGAAAAAAAAGAAAGAAGGAAGGAAGGAAGGAAGGAAGGAAGGAAGGAAGGAAGGAAGGAGGAAGGAAGGAAGGAAAGAAGGAAGAAAGAAAGGAAAGAAAGGAAGAAAAAAGAAAGAAAGAAAGAAAGAAGAAAGAAAGAAAGAAAGAAAGAAAGAAAGAAAGAAAGGAAAGAAAGGAAGAAAAAGAAAGAAAGAAAGGAAGGAAGAAAAAGAAAGAAAGAAAGAAAGAAAGAAAGAAAGAAAGAAAGAAAGAAAGAAAGAAAGAAAGAAAGAAAGAAAGAAAGAAAGAGAAGGAAGGAAGGAAGGAAGAAGAAAAGAAAGAAAGAGAGGAAGGGGAAAAGAAAGAAAGGGAGGAAGGAGGGAGGGAGAGAAGGAAGGAAAGAAAGAAAGAAAGAAAGAAAGAAAGAAAGAAAGAAAGAAAGAAAGAAAGAAAGAAAGAAAGAAAGAAAGAAAGAAAGGAAGGAAGGAAGGAAGGAAGGAAGGAAGGAAGAAGGAAGGAAGAAAGGAAGAAAGGAAGAAAGAAAGATCAGCACCATGACTCCATCTGGCCACTTATGCAACTTATTTTGTTCCCTACTAAAACGTAAGCCACTTGAGAACAGGGATTGTTTCCTTCTTTGCATTCATTGCCTCTGTGGCCAGCATGATGCTCTGTGCTTAAAATGCTTGCAGACTCATAGATTGAAACCACCAAGGTTTTGGAAAGCCAAGCTTCCCAGGGGCTGGCAGGAAAACTGGAAATGAGTAGTATTTCACCACTCTCTTACTAACTAGAGCCCTAAGGATAAGTTTTAACACTGGCCTTACTTTAGGGAAACATATATTGGGTTCAGATGGTTTAGAGAACATCCTGTCTAATCCTCAGGTTTTCCAGATGAAGAAACCAAGGCCTAGTGAAATTATGTAACTTGCCCAAGGTTACCCAGTTAATAAGTGACTGACTTAGGATCTAAACCCATATTCTTTGAACCTAGAATCCAATATATTTTCTATATTCCACTGTGCCTCCCCAGAGAGGGGACCTTGACTTTTAATGAATATAAAATAAACAGCCAAGAAGAACCCCACCTTCTGGCAAGGGCAGGACTATTACCCACCACTGGGGGATAAGCTGGTCTGAATCCCAGCTTCTCCCCACTTTCAGGTGGGTCCAAGCTGGGCCCTCTCCTAGTCATCTGTAATAACCTCCCTCCCTTCTTTACCTTGTGAATTCATATCTATGGTACAGCAGAAAGGAGTTTGGACTTCTTGCTTCACACAACTTCCCCTCCCTAGTAACTCATTCAGAAAAAGAGTTAATACTACCTGTAGTATTTACCCTACAGGGTTGTAATGGGGATCAATTAAGATAATGTATTTAAAGTGCTTTGCAAATTCTAAAGTATTATGTAAATGCCAGCTATTATGATGATGATGATGATGATGAATTCATCCACTCATTCAGTTTATTCAACATTTACGAAGCTTCTCTCATGTATAATTAACAGTTTGCTATATTTTTTTTCATTTTATTCTATCCCTATTATTTTTCAATTTTCTCACCTTTTTTATATATTGATATTGTTGGGTCGATGCGCAGCTGGGTGGCGCAGTGGATAGACTACTGGACCTGAGTCAGGGAGACCCATCTTCCTAAATTCAAATCCAGCCTCAGACACTTCTCAGCTGTGTGTGGCAAGTCACTTAACCCTGCTTGCCTCAGTTTCCTCATCTATAAAATGAACTAGAGAAGGAAATGGCAAACCACTCCAGTATCTTTGCCAAGAAAATCCCAAATGGGGTCAAGAAGAGTCAGAAAAAACTGAACAGCAATTGTTGGGTGGAGGTTGACAGCCTGGTCTATTGGAAAGAATAATGGATCCGGAGCTACTCTACTACTTGTATAGATATGGAGAAATCACTTTAACCTTGTGGGGTCTCAATTTACCCATCTGGAAAATAACAGAAGTTGGCTAGATGATCTCCAAGCTTCTTTCTGACTCTAAATTCTATGAACCTAAGTTTGTAGCAACCTAAGCACTCTAATCCTCTGACCCTCTGTTTTTTGTCATTTTTTTTTTATCCCCAGGTTAGTATGGTGCTTGGCTCATAGGAGGTGCTTAATAAATACTAATTGACTGAAAATTTGACTATAAAATGGAGTTAATATTACTTGTACTACCAACCTCACAGGTAAGTGCTTTAGAAATGTAAGTTATTATATGCAATGCAATGGATTTGGTGCTAGGATATAGACATAAATAAAATATAATCTCTGCCCTAAAAGAAGTTATTCTCTTTTAGAGTATTTCATCCATTCTGGCTCTTCTCTAACTATTTCTGTCCAATCAGGCTTTTTCTGATCATTCCTCTCCATTCTTCTTCTCCTCAGGGTCCCTAGAACTAGTCAGCCCTACTTTATCCTTTCCTGAGGGAAATTCCATTCCATTTCTGAGGTCTTCAGGAGGTATATGGAGGTTAAAGAAGTGCCCCCCAACTCTTTTGGACAGCCCCTGGAACCTTCTCTGATGTTGAACTCAGAGACATAGGAAGGGATATTAAAGATTACCTACTCAAACTACTCATTTTACAGATGAGGAAACTGAGTCCCAGAGAAGATAAGTGATTTGCCCAAAGTCACCTAGCCCACAGAGGCCCAGCTATGGGGCCTAGCTCTAGGTGTAAACAAAGTTCATGAGGCATAGGATGGTGAAATGACAGGGAATACCAGAGGCTAACAATGTATGGCCCATTGATGCCTGTGTGAAGGTGCCACAAACCTCAGCCTCCTCCTCTGCTTACAGTGTGTGGGGGTGTGGGCTGCTGCCAGGGCAAGTGAGGACACCTCAGCTCAGGTGCCCTTACATGCCCTACCCTGCTGTGCAAAGGTGGCTTCTCTGAAGTTGTGTTCAAGGGCCAGGGTTGAGCCTGTGAACAGCCAGGGGTGTCTGCTCTATTCTACCGGACTAGACCCAGAAAGTTAGTATCTCCTGCAGCTCAAGGAAGGAACAATTCTAATCAGTTTTAAGTCAGTGGGCCTGCTCTGGCTTAGCTCAGGACCTCCTGAACTGAAGACATATGTCTGTGAGCAAGAAGGTCGATACAGACAAATAGCAGCTTTAGGAAAAGATATTGGGGTGTCCCCATTAAAAAAAATCTGTATTTTCCTTAGCATTTAGAGTATAGAAAATGGCTATGGCATCTGGTTACGGGGGTTTTTTTTGCCTAATTAAACAAAGCAATCAATCAACAAGCATTTATTAAGCACCTACTATGTGCCAAAGTACTGGCAGCTACATGGCTCAGTGGCTGGATCAGGAAGATTTGAGATCAAATTCAGCCTCAGACACTTACTATCTAGATAACCATAGGCAAGGCACTCAGTCCTGTTTGCCTCAGTTTCCTCACCTGTAAAATGAGCTGGAGAAGTGAAAGGCAAACCACTCCAGTATCTTTGCCAAGAAAACCCCAAAGGGGGTCACGAAGAGTCTGACATGACTGGACAACTATCAAGACATGTGCTGAGCACTATGCTAAGCATTGGGATAGAAATCGATCAGCAAGTGTTAATCCAACACCCATTCTGTGCCAAGTCCTAGACAAGCATTTATGAAGCACTTTTTCTGGGCCAAGCCCTGTGCTAGGCACTGCAGAGAGATACAAAGAAAATTAAAATATTACTTACCCTCCAGGAGCTAGCATCTTACCCTTATTTAGCCTGGCATTCAAGGCTTTTCACAATCTTTCCTAACCTACCTCTCTAAACTTTATTTCCCACCTGTTCGTTACGTGAACCCTCTTCACAGGCAAGATGGGATCCTCACTGACCCGTCAATGCACAAATTCATTCTCACCATCAAGTCCTGGCTTATGGTTTTTTCCTTCTGCTTCTGTGGACTAGGAGACACGGACCCAGCCTCATCTAGTCATTATTGTTGTAGACTCTTGGATGGTTTTTCACAGGTGTCTGTATTCTTCTTCTCTCTACCTAGACTACAAACCCCTTGAGGACAGAGGACACCTAAGGTCTCATTCTCTATCTAGTCCCCAACAGGCTCCACCATAGTACCCATCAGAGGGGCCCAGAAATGCCTGTGGAGGGCTTTAGTGGACATTTCCAGTGCATTCTGGGAGTTGCAGGTAAGGGAGGCATGGAAAGCTTGTCCTGTTGCCCAATTTGGCAATTGATTACCCTGCTGTTATTTGCTTTAAGGAAAAATCTGTGGAAAATAAACAAAGGTTCTGTAAAATTCTAAGAAAGATCCATGCCCCTGTCTGCTCTTTCCAGCTCTGAGACCCAGGTCGGGGAAGGTCACTTCTGGTCAACAATTTAACTCTCCTGTGACCAGAGGAGGAAGACAAGAAGCTGTAGGAGAAAAAACACTAGATTGTTTTAGTCTGAAGCCTGGATTTGAATGCTGACACTGCCATCTACCAGCTAAGGTATCTCAGGTAAATTCCTTTCCCTCTGGGCCTTTGTTTCCCTATCTGCAAAATGAGGACTATAGGATCTCCAAAGTCCTTCCAGCTCTAAATCCTATTATTATTTACAAACCAGGTGACCATGGGCAAGTCACCGTACCTCTGTGAGCCTCAATTTCTTCTCCTATAAATTGAGGGGGTTTGACTCAATGATCTCAGAGTTTTCCTCAATCCTCAGTCCCCTATTGTTAAGCAAGTGGTCAGACTCACTACAACTTCTTACTTCCACAAAACTAAGAATCCAAAGTGTTCAGATGATTTCATATTCATATTGTATTATGGGATCACGGATTTAGACCTAGAAGGGACCTTTGAGATCATGAGTTCAAATTCCTCCCCTTTTAAAGAGAGGAGACTGACACTTAACCTCTTCAAGGGTAAGTGACTTGCCCAAGATCATTCTGCCTCAGACACACCCACATCTTCCCACTCCAAGTCCAGTGCTAAATTCATGGCATCACGTGGCCTTTCATCACCCCTGCCCCATGGATCCTATTTTGCAGTTTGGAAAACGAGTCTGTAGTACAATGAGATAACATATGTAATGCACTCTGTAAACTTTAAAGAACTCTGCGAATGCTAGCAATTATTATTTTTATTGTCGCTGTTCTTTTAGTATGGGAGTGGGTAGGATTCCAGGTCCAAGGGAATAAATGGATAAAGAAGCCTGATTATATGTTTACTGTGTTCCAAGCCCTGTGCTAAGCACATTTTGCTAAGGGGAAAATAGGAAAGGAAGAGAGTCCCTCCTCTCCACCCCCCACCCCAAATATACACATCTGCTTAATCCACACCCTTCTCTCCTTCTTTTTAAAGTTCATGGATTCAGGATTTGCCCTCAAATAAACTAGCTTTCAGCTGGCCAACTACTTTGCCACCAGAAGAAAAAAAAATGCTACAGAGTGCGATTGAAATAGAATTTTATTTGAGTCTGAGGACCTGGGTTAGAATCTTGTCTGGCAAAGCAGATAGAGTGCTGGGTCTGTACTCAGGGAGACTTGTGTTCAAATCCAGCTACAGACACTCAGTAGCTTTGTGACCCTAGGCAAGTCACTTAACCATTGTTTGCCTCAGTTTTCTCTGAAATGTAAAATAGTGATTATAATAGCACCTATCTCCCAGTGTTGTTGTGAAGATCAAATGATATAACATTTGTAAAGCACTTAGCACCTTGCCTGGCCCATAGTAGGTGCTACAGAAATGCATATTCCTTGCACCCCTCCCTCTCTACTTAACTATTATTGTAACTCTGGGTAAATCATTTCCACCTTAATACCTCTGTTTCATTATTTGTGAAATGAAGGATTTGGACCTGATGTTCCCTGAAGTTCCTCCTCTCATTCCCAGCTCATTTTCAAATAAACTAATTTCCTGTTGTTATTTCACTTTCCTTTGTTCCTCTCTCCTCCCCTCCCTCCCTCCCTTCCTTCCTTCCTTCCTTCCTTCCTTCCTTCCTTCCTTCCTTCTTCCTTCCTTCTTTTTCCTTCCTTCCTTCCTTCTTCCTTCCTTCCTTCCTTCCTTCCTTCTTTGCTTCTTCCTTTCCTTCCTTCCTTCCTTCCTTCCTTCCTTCCTTCCTTCCTTCCTTCCTTCCTTTTAGAGGAAACAGCATGCACAAAGTGGCAAAGTACAGGATTTGTTTGGAAAATGATAAATAGCCCAGTTTAAAAAAGAGCACAGGATACATAAAAGGGAGCTAAGGCTAGAAAGGGAGATTGGAACCAAATCACTGATGCCCTTGAATGCTAGGCTAAGGAATTAAATTTCATTTAGTTTGGCAAAGGGAGCCAATTAATGGTTTTTGAACAGATGAGTGTTGGAACTCAAGCCATCCTTTTTGAAAGATTAATCTGGAAGTGTGTTTTAGGATAAATTGAGGAGGGCAGGGCAGATACAGGGAGACCAGTGAGTGTCTTAACTGGTCTTCCTGGTCATATCATCCTGCCCTGCCTCCAGTGGTGGGTGACTCAAAAGTGGAGAGAAAGAATTAGCCAGCTTCTATCATCCCACCACCTGCACCTCCCACCCCTGGGGAAGCCAGGGAGTATACCTCCTCCCCTTCATTCTCCAGCCTGGGGCTGGACCCTACCTGGAAAGCTTCTCCTCCCCCTTTCTCCATCCTTTGCCTTTGGCAGGGAGCTGGCTCTGTGGTGATTCATACAGGAACCTGGAGGAGTATTGGAGGGACCAGCCCAGGTTAGCTTAGCTATTCCAGACAAACAGAAGGTGTATGGGGGTGTTTTACATCACATGTACGTTAGAAGGTACTGGTCACTGCCGGTCCCCTAGAGTACTGGGTTTAAGTCAAGGAGAAGGTAGAGGGAAAAAGGAGGTCTGCCTGCCTTAAGCAGTTAAGAAGTTTCATAAGGCAGGTAGGATTTAGAGAAGAGGAACAAAGATTTACAAATCCCAGATATTAGAGCTAAGATATCCCTCACCTCCAATACCACTAACCCCCTTGCAGGTTCACAGAAAAATAGGTTTCAGATAGTCAATTAATCAGCAAGTATTTATTTAGTACTTACTAGGTGCCAGTCACTGTGCAAGGCACTGAGGATAAAAAAAAATGAAATAAGCTCTCAAAGAGCTCGTATTCTGGGTCATTGCTAAGAGGTCCTATTAAATGTATCATATTTTACTTAAGGAAATAGGCATCCCATTATTTGCTCAAAAAAAGTTCTCCTAAATTCAAGGCACTATTTGGCATTAGATAGAGACAGAGTTTCAAAGATGGGGTGGATTAGATAGATTCATGAATGACAGATTAGTAAGAGGTAGAAAGGTCCACAGAATGGCAGAAAGAACACCAGCCTAACAGTCAGAGTTCTGGATTCTAGGCCTGACTCAGTGGGCCCTTGGGCAAGTCACTTCTCTTCTTTCTCTGGGTCTGTTTCTTCCTCTATTAAATGAGAGACTTAGATGGGATCATAGGATCACAGATTTAGAGTTACAAAAAGAAGACCTCTAATATTACACACACACACACACACACACACACACACACACACACACCCTTTGACATGGCTCTATGTTTGTACCTATTGCTTAGTCCAAGTTCCACTGAGTTGGATCTCTGCAAGGCTTCTGAAGGCAGTCTGTTGTCCTGAATAGAGAGAGAGAAAGATAGAGACAGAGATGGAGAGACAGAGATAGCAAGAGATACAGAAAAAGAGACAGAGAGAGGCAGAGAGAGAAAGAGACGGGGGGGGGGGGAGAAAGAGACAGAGAAAAAGAGAAACAGACAGAAAAAGAAAAAGAGAAAGAGACAGAGAAACAGGGACAGACAGAGACAGACACAGAGACGACAGAAAGAGAAATGTTTCCATAAAAATAATAATAACTTTTAAAAGCAATGCTCCAATGAATTTAAACTGGAAGCTGAGAACCCCAGAGATAACAATGCCATGAGCCATGCCTGAAACCCTCTCCACAGTAACTCTTCCCACCTCTTCCTCTGACCCTTCTATTTCCACCACCACCCCCCAAACCCAGTTACCAGCTCCACTTGCTTAAGAAGGCCCAGTCTGAGTCTCAGAACACCCTCCATGGATTAGAAAGGCCTAGGTCTCAGAAAAGATTTCAGGACATTCTGTGTCTGTAACATGTCTAAAATTCCGCATAATAAATAATAGGGATAAAGTAATTTAAATCCTAGGCTGAAATCCCAGGCTGAGGCCGCTTTTGACTCAAAGACGTAGAAGAAACTACAGATGGAAAATACCGACCACTTCATTGGTATACTCCCCATCCCAGGGCAGGCCAGTCCCTACCACATACTCTCCAGTGGGTTTTCCAAACCAGCTTTAAATCTCCCAAGGAATGCAGCTTGTGCTGATTCCCAAGGAGAGACCATGCCCCAGGCTCATTTTTGTCAATCCTAGTTCAGGAGGCATTTTATAAAATTCTTAGCACCTAAAATGTTCCCATCATGTGCACACATCATCATTTCATCTTCTCTCATTCACCACTGTTTGTCTGGCCCCTTCTGCTTTTTTTTTGGGGGGGGGGGATCTAGCTCTGCTCTTGGTGTCTTGAGAACAGCACTGGATTTGGAGTCAGAAGCCTGGAGTTTGAGGCTTGTCTCTGCAATTCACCTGTGTCACCTTGGGCACATCTCCTCTCTCTTGGCCTTGGTTTTCTTCTGTAAAATGGAGAGGGTAGAGTAAATGATGAGTAAAGTCCTTTGAATTTCTAACATTCCCTCCACATCTTCCGTATGAGTACAGTGGCCTGAGAAGACTAACCTTTCCATTATGTCTAAGTTTGGGATATTTTAATTGTGCCCCCCACAACCACCATCACCAGGTTACCTTCTTTGCCGCATTCCCAGTTCCAAGGAAGGAAGACAAGTTTGCTTTGTTTAGTTATTTTAGTTTTTGATTCCCTTCTAACCTTGGAGTAATTATCCATTCGGCTGCTGGCAGTTGCAAAAGCCCTAACCCCTGAAGGATTCGGCCAACTCAGTTGAAGAGTTACAGAAAGAATTAATCAAACCTGCTGGTAATGGAGAAATGTTTACCAACTGGTCACACTTCTTCACATGTTCCAGTGAAGCCTGAGGGGAGAAAGGGAGGAACAGTGTCCATTGTTGGCAGGAGAAAACCCGACAGGAAGGATACAAAAGTCCCCACAGCAATGTTGGCTTCTGGTAACTATCAGTTCAACCACATCAACTTGAAACATAACATTCATAACTTCACTAATACACACACTATATATTTTAGCAGCCAAATCTCAATGAAAAGGTAACCATTGAATTTAGAATGTCAAGCCACAAAGGAACTGTAAAGATTTTCAGGGCCACTATTTTACAGATGAGAAAATAAAATATTTCTCTCTCTCTCTCTCTCTCTCTCTCTCTCTCTCTCTCTCTCTCTCTCTCTCTCTCTCTCTCTCTCTCTTTCTCTCTCTCTCTCTCTCTTTCTCTCTCTCTTTTTCTCTCACTCTCTCTTTCTGTGTGTGCATATATGTGTGTGTCTGTCTGTCTTTGTTTCTATCTCTGTCTGTCTCATCTCTGTCTCTTTCTCTCTCTCTTCCTCCCTCCCTCCCTCTCTCTGTCTCTTTCTCCCTGTCTCTCTCTGTCTGTCTCTGCCTCTCTCTGTCTCTGTGTGTGTGTCTGTCTGTCTGTCTCTGTCTCTGTCTCTCTTCTCTCCCTTCCTTCTTCTTTTTCCTCTCTTTGTCTCTCTGTCTCTTTTCTTTCTGTCTCTTCCCTTTCTCTTTCTCTCTCAGGACAACAGGTTGCTTTCAGAAGCACACAGAGGCTTGATTCAGAGAAACCTGGGCTAAGCAATATATAGAAACACAGAGCCTTGGCATGTCAAGGCAGGGTGAGGATCTTAGAGGTCTTCTTTTTGTAGCTCTAAATCTGTGAGCCTATGATCTCATTCGAGCCCCTCATTTTATAGAGAAGGAAACAGACTCAGAGAAGGAGCAGAAGTGACTTGCCCAAATCCCACAGAGTCAGGACTAGAATCCAGAACTCTTAGGCCAGTGTTCTTTCTGCCATTCTATGATACCTTTCTACCTACTAGTATAACTGCTATTCATGAATGACAGATTTATAAAAATTCCTTTTCCTTTCTGCAGAAAGAGAAAGGAACTTGCCCCCCAGGTCACATAGGGAGTTTGTAATGCAGCTAAAGCAGAACTTAGGACTCCTAACTCTTGTTTAAAGGCTTTTTCCACAACCCCAAAGTAATGTGTGGAGGAATATGTTGGGAAATGATGGTCTAGACCTGTAGGGCCCTGCCAGTGGCCCTTTCTTCTTTGGGACTTCATGGCCTCAGTGAATTGACTTGTTTCTGCCCTCACTCCGACTCCAGACACATAAAGTACATCTGGGTGAGAGAGTCTACTGAGAACAAACAAGGTGATAGTCCCATTGCCCTTGGCTCTGCTCAGACAGTGTCTGGACTGTGGTGTTTTAGTACTAGGGGCTTTTGTATACTTCCTGTAAGGTTTTTTTTTTCTGTCAGCAATGGACAATTTTAAAAGGATGTCAGTAACTGGAGCCTAAATAAGGGAAGACTAGCAGGAGAAGAGAGACTAGAGACCATGCTGTGTACGGATTAGTTGAAAAAGCAGGCATTTTTAGCCCAGATAAAGATAATTTGATAGAGTGATGGTGACTGACTAAAAAGCTTATACCTGTTCTCCTCGGCCCTCAGAGAAAAGAACCTCAAGAAAAGGCCTCCAGAGAAGAGAAGACCAACAGAAGTTGCCAAGGGGCAGCTTGAAGTTTGATGAAGGAGCTAAATGCTGTCCACAATCAGAATAGGCTACCTAGGAGGTGTGTGGGGGCTTCATCATTTCAGCAGAATTTTAATGACACTAGTTATGGAAGTTATAGCGAGAACACTTGGTCAAGCACAGTTTGGACTACATGACCGCTGAGATCCCCTTCAACAATGAGGGTCAATGAATGACAATGCTTCCCAGAAGGAACTGGAGGCAGAAGTCCCCATGTCCTCTCTTCCCAGTGCCTTCTCCCCATTTTTCTTCTCTTGCTCAAAAAGTCTCTTTTCATTTAGAGTCAGAGGGTGGTCCCCATATCTCATGAATTATGTATGCCTTGTTTGTTTATGGTGCCCTGTCCTTCCTGCTGAGAGCCCAGAGCAGTATGGTGGGGAAGATGGTAGCTGATAAATCCTGATTAACCTTAATGATAAGGTGGTTCATCTACTACTTGCATAGCCAGAGCTAGAGTCAGTGGGAGTACCCATGCTTACTGTATGAACCCAATGGCCTCAGACAGCATCATTATGTTTCCTCTGTCAAATGAGAAGGTTGGACTGAATGCTCTTCAATATCATCTTCACCTCTGTGCTTGATCTTAGCCAAAAGGCTTAGCGGAGGTGTGAGCCCCTGTGGACCTAATCTTCTGGGAGTCTGCACCTGTGTGTTTGCCATGTTCCTTCCCTCTAATATATGCATTCTTTATGCTCCCTTGAATGCTAGCTTCACCAAAATAAGCTAAGCTAAATTTTTATTCTTTTTTATCCCCTTGGGAACAGCAAAATGCAAAAACTCCTTGTTTTAAGCAATGGCTTCCAAGTCACATCTGCATTCTTTATTGGCAAGATACATTTCTTCCACTGCCAGAATTATTCTTCCCATATAGCTTAGGAAGGGCTAATTTGGGAAAAGAAAGGCCTGTTCATTAAACAGACCTAGACCACCTGAAATTGTCCATCTTGACCAAGGCATCAGTAATCATAGAATATCCATGGTTCCTCAAGATTAGCTGGAGTCTTAGCCGGAGACCTGGGAATGCCACAGGTTGTCCAGAGAGAAGATAAAAGCATCAGAGAATTGAAAACTGTTGAGACGAGTCAGAGAATCAGGGGTTCTACAAAAATGTTCACCAGGCTGTGTGATTGCTTAATGGTGCTGAGTATAGAATTCAGATCTGCTGAGTCTGAGTAGAGAGTGCATGTCTCTCTTTGTTACTTCTCAGGAAGACCAGAAGGGTTCACATTTCCTGATTCTGCTTCAAGGGACCTCACTCCAAAAGGCATGACTATGGAACTCCTCTCCTGGGAACTAGGGAGCCTCACAGCTCTCTCAAGAAGATATTAATAGAGGGGCAGCTAGGTGGCACAGTGGATAGAACACTGGCCCTGGAGTCAGGAGGACCTGAATTCAAATCCGGCCTCAGACACTTGAACACTTACTAACTGTGTGACCCTGGGCAAGTCACTTAACCACATTGCCTGCCCCCACCAAAAAGAAAAAAACACAAAAAAACAAGAAGATGTTAATGGGTCACAGAAAACATGAATCACATAGATTGGAGAATGGGTAAACAAATTATAGCTCATGAATATTGTGAGATATTACTGTGTCACCAGAAAGAATGAAAATTTTAAATTCAGATAAACATGGAAAATATATACTTATATGCATTGATATGTATTTAATCTTCATAATACTGGGAGGTAAGTGCTGTTATGATCCTTATTTTCCAGTTGAGGAAACTGAGGCTGAGAAGTGTTAAGTGACTTGATCAGGTTTACACAACTAGTAAGTGTCTGAAAAATTATTTGAACCCAGGTCTTCCTGACTCCTGGCCCAGTATGCTTGTATACCAGCTACTTCCTCTAGGTAGCTTTCCATCTAAATGGAAAAGAATGGAAGAAAGAGAGAGAGAGAGAGAGAGAGAGAGAGAGAGAGAGAGAGAGAGAGAGAGAGAGAGAAAGAAAGAAAGAAAGAAAGAAAGAAAGAAAGAAAGAAAGAAAGAAAGAAAGAAAGAAAGAAAGAAAGAAAAGGGAGAGAGAGGAAGGGAGGGAGGGAGAGAGGAAGGGAGGGAGGGAGGTCAAATGCTTCATAATTATAATAATTAAAGTGACCATAATTATAATGACCAAGATTAACTCCAAGGAAGAGATGGGAAAAACATACCTCCTTCCTTTCCCTTGCAGAAGTGGGGAATTACAAGTGTAGAACATTGCAGGCACATTCACACTCAGTTGATGTGTTGGCTAATTTTGTAGATTTTCTCTTTTTCATTCTTTATTGTGAAAGAAGACTCACTAAGTAATGGAGGGAACAGGGCTATATTCAGAAATGAAGTTGTCAAAAGAAAAACACAACAATACAAGTTTAAAAGTTTACAAAATATGAAAATATAACAACAGACCCTGGAAAGAATTTGTCCTTCCTACTAAGTAGACAGAGGTGGGTAGGATGGAGGTGGAGAAAATTTCAAATCCACAGGGGCTCTGGCCCCTTTGGAAGTGAGTGAAAGCTAAGTTTGATAAAAAGATCAATGAAATAAGAAGGCCCAGCGTCTAATCTCAGACAGGAGGACTGAAGTGGTCAAATCAACAATTCCTCTAACTTTGGATGGATCATTTCTCCCATGGTGTCTGTTTTCTCACCTGCCAAAGAGGGTAATAAGACCTCCTTGCCTATCACAGAGACATTCTGAGGACAGTACAGGAAGATTTATTTGAGAGGACTGGAGCAAACACCTTAGGGGGGAGGGAAACAGATTAAAATGTCATCAGGAAATATTTAACAAAATAAATAAAAATACAATAGAATATAGATCATGTGAATACAAGGGTTTCTAAGTCAATATGGGGCCCTCAGAGATGCTTATGTATGGTTTAGTGGCCCCTCTTTCTATCTGAGTTTGACACTACTGGTGCAGAGTAAAGAATGTTCTATCTCATAAGGTTTTATCATTTGATGGTTCTGTGATCCTGCCTACATGGATGATGCCTCCATCAGAACAAGTCACACCCTTCTTCCATACCTTTTCACTCTTTGCAGTTTTTGTCTTCATTTTGCCATGAATGGATAGCTCACATTTCCATAATATTTAAAGGTTTATAAAGTACTTTCCTCTCTGATCCTATGAGATGATGCAGTCCTGTGATATGTAAGCAGTTATCCCCACTTTACAGATGATAAAAATGAGGCTCGGACAAGGGAAAAGGGCTTTCCCCAAGGTCACAAACCAAGTGAGTGCCAGATACAGGATTTGAACTGTCCCACAGTTCTGATTCTGAGTTCTGTTTGACTGCTGAATCAAAGTCCAGTCCTTTTTTCCACTATGTTATACTAGCTCCATAGAAAGTCCACCTGAAATGTTGGAGTTATTCCTCTTAGAATAAAATGTCAGACTTGAAATGACCTTAGAACATAGTAGAGGAAAAAACAAAGAATAACTGGTCTAGAAGGGACCTTAGAACACAGATATCAGATCTGGAAGGACCTTAATGATCAATCATCTCATGTAACCCACTTATTTCAATTTCCACATTTCAATGGATTTGTAATCTGTACAATGGCATGCTGGTAAATGTTTAACAATCAGCTCTCCATGGGGGGAAATAATCTGTATTGTTAGCATTTTCTCCATCACTTTCTTAAGTCTAGATAATCAACAAAACAATAAATCAAGCCTTGGTTTGTAATGTTTGCAGATTTTCAAGGTATAAATGTTCACAATGAAAATTTAACAACCAACTCTTGTGAGCCACACCAGTGGATCTGTGATATCAGCAAGGTGGGTACTCTTTCCATCAGTACCGATGATAACTCATAAATGTCTTCTCATTGCCTGTGCCATTCTTATCCATGTGCTCCCGTCAATCCTTCATTGAGAAAATATTCAGCGTGATAGAAAACTAGGTATTTTTACATTTGATGTGAACTAGGGTAACCTACGAGTTAGCTCTCTCTGATGGTCCCTTGTTTTCATTGCATGAACAGCCTACATTATATCCTTTTCTGATCTTTCATCTGCTCAGTGATATCACATGTGCTAGTAATCATGGGAAATATGCCCACCACACATCTTTCCATTATTTCCCTTGGAGTGAACTTCTCCTTTGATTCTTCAGGCCATGATAAACTGAGATAAACAACCATTCAGCATCACTGGGAGAACATTTATTTGTTTTTTTTTTTTTAAATCATGCAAAGGAATAGCTTGGGATTCTTGAAATCTACATAATTTCTCAGATAAGGTCCAGAATGCTTTTCCCTTCCTCCTTTTCATTGTCCATCTTTATTGCTTATCTGCAATACATGTGTGACAGTGACCACCTTGGTGCTCACAGTCTGAAGGCCAGGTGTGCTACATCTCATCCCCAGCCCAGGGTACTCTAGTACCCTTAAGGGAGAGTTGGGGGTGCCTAGGCTCTCTGCCATTGGCTGAAGCTCTCAGCAAAGGTGTTCCTCCAATTATAGAAAGAGAGTTCTAGCACCTTAGTTCCATTTAGCAACTTACAGTTGGAGTAGTTTTTTCAAAGGAATATTTACTTCAAAGGTGTAATAATAAATATACAAAGGTGTTCCTAGCATCTGGTGAGCCCTTCCCCCTTACTGGTTCAGTTTGTGGTGCCTGTGCTCTGAGTGAACTATGACCTTCGCCCTCCCTGGACACAGCTGTAAAAAGCACATGAGAAAGAAATCGAGATTGACTAGTCTGGCAGTTTTAGGGAGACAGCTTGTTCCAGCTATGCAGCCAATCAAATGAGGCAACTCCCACTCAGATGGAAAGGGAACACAGGATGTCTTCCCCCAGAATCAGTGTGCTTCCGTGTTAAGTGATCTAAACATGATCCAAAGCCACCATTACACATGCACAGGTGTACTATGGATTGGTCATCCAACCACATATCACAATTGGAACATCAGAGATTTTTCGTTTATTTTATTTTTTTTCTGCATGAATTGTTAGGTTGATCTCTCTTGAGTAATCAAGGATCTCATTGAGGAGCTTGTTTGCAATCAGCACAAAATCAGCAGCAAACAGGAACCTATTAAAGACATTATAATCTAAGATTTGCCTCTTTCATTTGGGGTCTATTCTACCAGTATATCTCAAATGACAGTGGAACTCCTTCCACTGCAGATGGAATGTGGGAGTCAGGTGAGGGTCCCAAAATCCTTTTTATATCTCATGTAACAGTAATAATCAGAGGGTTACTGAACAGAGTTATCTCTGTGATTGAATTTATTGAAGAATTACTTAAAAGCTTGATATTTGCATGAAAGAGACTCCCTATCCAGGAAAACTTTTAGCCTATGGTTTTCTTTTTGGAGTCAAATGATTTGTTATTGTTGTTGTTGTTGTTGTTGTTGTTGTTGTTCTTTTTCTTCTTTCTTCTTCTTCTTCTTCTTCTTCTTCTTCTTCTTCTTCTTCTTCTTCTTCTTCTCCTTCTCCTCCTCCTCCTCTCCTCCTCTCCTCCTCCTCCTCTCCTCCTCCTCCTCTTCCTCCTCCTTCTTCTCTTTCTCTTTCTTCTCTTCTATGTTCTTGTTCTTGTTCTTAACATTTTGGTAATCAACAAACTATAAATAATAGATAAATGGCATATCTCTTACACTTTTCTGTCAATTATGTAACAAAAAATATGATTTAATATTGAAATGTATATGCGAAAGTTTGCCTGTTGAGATTTAAGAGGAAGAAATCAGTGTCCTCAATAGCTATAAGAAAAGAATACTCTAAATAACTATTAGAAAAAGGAAAACTAAAACTGAGATTATACCTCACGTACATCAGATTGACAAAGTCAGCCAAAAAAAGGAAAATAACAAATGCTGTAGGGGTTGTGGGCAAACAGGGCAAACAAGAGCTCCACTCTTGGTGGAGCTGTGAACTGGTCCAGACATTCTGGAAAGCAATTTAAAATTATGCCAAACAATATTAAATTGTGCATACCCTTTAACCCAGCAATAAGTCTATGAACCAAAGATATCAAATAAAGAGCAAAAAGACCCATGCGAACAAAATTATTTAAAGTATCTCTGTTTGTACTGGCCAAGAATTGGAAACTGAGGGGCAATCCATCAATCATATAATAGTTGAACAAGCTATGTTATTTGAATTTAATAGGATACTATTGTGCTATACAAAAAAAAATGATAAAGGGAATGGGTTCAGAGAAACCTGGGAAGATTGATATGAACTGATGCAAAATGAAATGAGCAGAAACAGGAGAACAAATTATACAATAACAATAATATTGTAAAGAAACTGTGATGAAAACAATGCCCAAACATGATTCCAGAGGACTGATGATGAAACAGCATACTCCCTTTCTGATAGAAAGGTATTAAACTCAGGGTGTGTGTGTGTGTGTGTGTGTGTGTGTGTGTGTGTGGTGTGTGTATATATATGTATGTATAT